GTCTCCTGCATCTCGCAGATCGGCAACAATTCCAATTTGAATCAGACCAACGACCCGATCTCCCAGTTCTCGATCAGCGAGACGGCGTTGCATCAGCTCATCGCCACTCCGCCGACCAAGTCCGTGTCCCTCGATGCGACGTGAGTGTCCAATCATCTTTCGACCTTTAATCTTTCTTTCTTTTTATCCACTTTCTTCCATTTCGTTCCGACGTTTTCCTTCAAATTCTTTCCGACGTCTCGCGACAATCCTCGATAAAAGCTGAAAAGAAGAAAAATGTAAGAATCGTCTCGTTGACGCGCGGATTATTCAAATCCGTCGGCAAGCTTCCAATCGCCTCTCCCTCGGACATCTCAACTCGGCCTGTGTTTAAATTACAGAGGATCACGGAAATCGTTCAACAATTCGACGTCCACGTTGCTCGAGGAATCGATCATTTGCCACGACGGCCGCATGGTTCGAAACAGCTCGTTGCGGAGGAAGAAGAGCAGGTTGCGCAAGAAGAATCTGGTAAGAATCGTTTCCTCCTCACGAATCGAAATCGAAATCGCAACAATGGATCGATCTGTTCTAACGAATTTCCAAAATTCTTGGTTCAGGGTCGTAAGAGCGACTCCAGCTTGGAAGGTGTAAACGCCGCGAATCATTCCGCGGGAAGCGACGGGAGCTCGTCGAACCAGCAACGATCGCCCCGAAAGGTGAGCGGGAATCGCGCGATGCGCACCATTTCCAGAGACTGTCACGGCCGTTTGACCACCCTCGTGAAATCCGGCTCGTTCTCCGGGTGCACCGCCCACCAGCAACTCTCCGCGGAGAGGACGATCGTCAGCGACCCGACACCGCCGTTCAGGTTACCCTGCTGCACTTCGGTGGCTTCCACGTCCGAGACCGAGGGCGAGGAGCAACGTAATCGCACGCGCGGCTGCTTCCCCTTCGACGACAATCTGTTCGACACCGTGCTCAACAACAAGGAGCTGTGCAATCAGCAGCTGAATATGGATAGCGATATCGAGATGAACAGTCTTGGGAACAACTCGTTCTCCGAGCAAGCTTGGGATAATTATCAGGTAATCATCAGCTTTTTCCTCTTCTACTTTTTCCATGATTTTTCTTTTTAAGAAAGAAATGTGTTATGGTACGGTTGCCCTCTCTTCTTCTGGAAGAGATTGTTTTCGTTAAGGTTAATTGATCTTTTTCGAGGATCGATTGATTCGAATATTGATCTTAAATATGTGTGTTTTTGATAGGAGAAATATATGAGCGAGCCGTACAGCGAAGCACCGGATATAGAAACGGCACGAAGATTATTGGACTTTGGGGACGATTATCGAAACTTTCTCGATAGTCAGTCCGATTGTGCCTCCAGTATGAGCGCAATAGCCGCTAGTTCTCCACTGCCTAGAAGTCGTATGCATCATGTACGTTCCATTCTATTATTCCTTCTTGATCAAGTGTCCATATTTTTTCTGTGACACTGCATCTGCTATATCTTTGCACACGGATTTCCCTTATCTTGTAGACATATAGATCGGTACCGCATATGGATCGATATTTATACAACCAAAATAGATATGGGTATCTATCATGGTGATATTACGTCAAAAATAGAAATAGAATATCAATTTGTATTATTACCGAGTGCTTTGCGTTTTATTAGTGAGATTGATTAATTTAATGCGATTTATAGTTTTATTTTTCAATTATTGATGCTTACAATTTTTTTTTCGACAACAATTTCATAGCGTTTTATAAAAAAAAATAAATTGATTTTTTTCGTTTGTATTGCTGTAGGACGAGTGTAATTCTACTGCAGTAAATAAAAGTTTAATTTTAATCTGTTCAATTCGTCTTTTAGATAAAGTCACTTTGATATTTGCAATAAATTCATTTCTACCTTGCTACTTCAAGTCGAATTATTACCTTGCTCTAGATTTTCTAATTGTATATATATATATAT